AGCAGAGAGAGAGGAAGGAAGGAAGGAAGGAAGGAAGGAAGGAAATTGTGCATTTCCTTGCCAAATGTTTGACAGCACTATCTCGAAGCATTGAGCAAATTGAATGTTAACACAGCATAGCTCTGTTTTGATAATAAATTCTAGTCCCGAAAATAATATACATTATTGTAGGTATCATTGATTGATGATGGCCAAAGGAATACAGACAGTAAATTGAGAGCATTGAAATTGATCAGGTTTCTTTAATAGGTGTTAAGAAAAAGAGATAAAAAAAGAAAATGTAAAAAATAATAATAACTTGTCTGAATATTGATTCACAAATTTAGTTCATAGATGGAATCTATTACTGTAACTATATACGTGACATTCAGCTTTCCTGGGTTGAGAACATTTATGATCTGTCGTATGTATTTGATATTTTTAGTCATAAGCTTGCCCATACCACATAAACAGTGTAAATCACATACTATTTAATTGACCCAAATATCTCATAAGGTTTTGCAGGTCAGAGACCATAAGTTTACTATGCAGCCATAAACAAAGCAATTGTCTTAGCCTGAACCAGTATTGACAATACAGTATGGCCAGTTCTGTCTTCTTTTTTCTTCTATGGCATAGAGGAAGATGCCACTTAATATAGTAATGCTATAATGGTTTGAAAAGGAAGCACCATTCTAGGAGAGAGGAGAGTAATGTTAACAAACATTAGTCTGAGAAGTACTGCTTTGCACATGCAGAAGCTTTATTCTAGCAAAAGATACTTCTCTGTATTTCAGACTTTCTCTTCTTGAGTATGTTTGTATAGCAATAGTGTCCACATTTCTCTGTTCAGTATGTGGCAGAACATTCCGTGCTAACATCGGTCTCATCAGCCATCTATGGACACACCGCTGATGGCCCATAATCCATAAGATGTCAAGGTCTTCATCGAAATCGATGGACGAACAACAACATGTTTGTATTGAATACATAATGGTGATTAGTGGCTTTGAATATATATATATTCTGTCACTTGAGCAAATTCACATCTATGGTACACATATGGAAGGAATCCCTTTAACTTCTACAAGAGAAGCTTGAGAAGTGAAAAAGCTTTGATATCCTATGGTTTTCTCAAACTGAATACTTTATATGCGGATAGAAGCAGAGAGCACATGTTTAGGGCTATCAAGCCCAGTACAAACTGTGCTTTTATGTTGCATAGAAGCGAAATGTTAGCCATTGCAGTTTTCTAATATTGTTGCAAAATTTGGCAGAGATATTATTCCCTCAGTCCATGCCTGACAAAGCCTATTCAAAGTTTGGAAGTGGCAAATTTGAGAGAGATTAAAAATACTGATTCTGTATTTCCAATTCCTATCCTTTTCATTTTATGTTCCATCACTTTGCCGTCTGTGTGCCGACAAATGATTTAGGACTGAAACGTTACATTTTGCCTCCAGGTTTTGGCAGTAATTAGAAAGCAGCTGAATCTGTTTCAGTTTGCATGAAGCACATTGTAAAACTACTAAAACCCTTTTTAAAGCGTGTAAACTTCTGCAGTGAAGAACAGAGGTGTGTGTTTTCTTTTTGCAGTGCTGACATAAGGATGTGTGGCATGAATACAACAACAGATATCTCTTTCCCAGGTAGCTAGTGCAGGGCAGGACCAGGGTCAGCTCCCAAGGTAAAATCCCAGTATCAATAAAAGAGCTTTACCAACCATATGAATTCAACTGTGCAATAAATAATGCAGCAATCATACTGCATATCTTACTCCAGTTAGCAAAATATTCATATGGGCAATTACTGTACATAGTATGGAGCCTTACATTTTTCTGCTGGGTTTCTGCTTGGAGCAGTGTTACAATTTAATGGTTTGATGGCTGAGTTGTGATGAAAACTCTTTAGATGCCCGTTCAATTGTGAAGTACACAACTTGCATTTATCCACCAGTTTACCATCTCCTCTCCCTCTGCATTATCACCACCCTTTACAACTGTTTTGGCATTCTTGGTACATAAGACCAAAAGGCTGAATCTTCTCAGCCTGATGATACAAGGAAAAAAATACCATTTCATGTTTTTAAACTCAATTCAAGGCATCATAATGGCTTATTATTATTCCTTTTGGTCATGAAACTATTCTTGTTTCTAAACAAAGAATAATTATTTATTATTATTATTATTATTATTATTATTATTATTATTATTATTATTATTATATAGTTTGTTTCTGTTCAAACATTACTGGGGTACCAGAATAACTTTAGATTGGGAAATAAAAACAATAAAATGAACAGCTGTAGCAATTTACAATAATGTACAAAGTCAATAGACATTTTACTAAAGAGGGGAAGTTGAATAGAAGAAAATTAAGCTACGCAAATATTGGTAGAAAAGTATTAAATAGTACTTAGTTTGAAACAAATATTGGTCAAAAGAAGCAAAAATGAGCATAGAAGTATGTTTCTGCCCAATTTGCTACATGGAAGCGAAAGTTGGATATGTGAGGTCAAACATAAAGGGAAATTGAATAGGGTGGAAATGATTAAGTTTGCATGAGAAAACAGGAAAAGGCAGGATCAAAATGAATGGGTGACAAATGTGGATTGAATATTGCAGAAAGCTGAATGACTAATATAAAGGAAGTCTTGTTGATGTGGTTTGTCTATACAGAAAGAATAAATGAGGTTGAGCTTACAAAATAAATACACAGAAGAGTGCATTGATAGACAGGCTGATGTTCCAGGAGTGCTTCCATCATAAGCTGCAGAATGCACACTGCAGCTCTGGGAAGCCCAGGTCCCTCCACTTGCTCCAGTCTCCTGCCACCCCACACAGTGCCTCCCACGCAGCTTCCAACTTCACCCAGGGAGCCCGTGGGTGGCACAGTGGTTAGAATGCATCTATTATCTCCGATTCTTCATTCCGTTTAAACTCCTATTATGGCTGCTAATTTCCTTCTCTCTGGTTTTCTAAACTTAGATCCCCCACCTCAGTCCATTTTACATGGTACCTGGATAGATGACCACCAAGGAATCCTAGGGCTCAGTGCTAGGCTAGGAAGCCGAAAAAGCATCTGGAAAAAGGCAACTGGAAACCATATCTGGGCTTTTCCCTAAATCAACTTGCCTGGATGCTTCTGTGAAGTTCCCAGCAAAAGATTTCAGTTCAAGGGCATCTTTTTCTTCTTACCTATGTTGACTTAAGTTGACTCAGCCTTCCATCCTTCCAAGGTGGCAAAAGTGAGGACCCAGATTGTTGGGGGGCAATAGGCTGACTCTGTAAACCGCTTAGAGAGGGCTGTAAAGCACTGAGAAGCGGTATATATGTCTAAAGGCTATTGCTGTTGCCGTAACCGACAGCACTGTGCCTCACCATCTCGCTGCCTCCTCCCTGGCCAGGCCTGGCAAGCTCCCTTCCTCAGATGATGCTCTGCCCCCCTGCACATCCCAGGGCTGCACCCTCACAGAGCACCTGGATCCCAGGCCAGCAGCAGAATGGGGAAGGGGACAGCAGGGTAGGTGAGAGAATACAAGGGAACTAAAAGGTCAGAGATGAGGGGAAGATAGGTATTAGGGGGAGTTCAAGAGCTTCTGCAGTCGAATTTTGATTATGTGACTGAGAGCACTGCAGTGGCCATAAATGTGGGGACCAGTCATTATAACTTCAAACAGTCACTGAATGAATGGTCATAAATCTGCTATCTATATGCTTCTTTCTTGAAGTAAATAGGTATGGCTTCTCAGGTAGTGGTATCCACCTAGGTCAGGGGTAGGCAACCTTGGCTCTTTTATGACTCGTGGACTTCAACTCCCAGAATTCCTCAGCCAGCATGGCTCAGCTTGGAAGCCTCTCCCTTTCCCCTCAGCATGGCTGGCTCAGGAATTCTGGGAGTTGAAGTCCACGAGTCATAAAAGAGCCAAGGTTGCCTACCCGTGACCTAGGGCATACATTCAGGATCTGGAGTAAAGCATAGTTTCTGATTTTTAGCTCGCAAGGGGAGAAACTGTTTTTAATACTTGCATAGCTAGTACCCTTTTACTTCGATTTGAGCATATGCATGGCTGGACTAGAATTCTTTTTTTAAAAGCATTCCAGAAAACAGCAGCAGCAGCAGCAGCAAACTACTTCTGGAGCATTGTCCAAAAAAAAGGATATGGTTGCAGTCAACTCAGTTAACTCAGAAGCATTTTTTTCCTTTTCAGAATCTAAGAATAGGAAGAAAATATAATAAATGGGACATTGGAATATAGTTTCAATTCAGTGTGGGGTTGCTTAGAAGCCCTAGCCAGGACTATAGGATACATCCTTAGCCTTGAGGTCTTGGCAGCAGAGGGTGTCCATGTTTCCTACCAAGGTCCCAGAGACCAGCTATGCTTAATTCCTTCTTGTAATCATGCTGCAGGTGCAGCATAGCATATTCTGGCACACAAGATATGCAGGCCATTATTCACTGGGAGCAATGATTGAGTTGTTGCATTTCTCTGTGTTTGCATCCATTAGAATAAAGATCTTGGGCCAGCTTAGTTCTGTCATGTTTCATAAACGGCGGGATCAAATCACCTTGTGGATGCCAGCTCTGTTTGGCACAACTCAAACCATTAGCTGATCCTTCCCACTCCTTCCATTGCCAGTAGTAAATAATTTCTCTCTCCATTAGTCAGTAACAAAACTGACACATTTTGCAGGGTGCTGCAGAGAGAGCATTACACATTTCCTAGTTGAGTTGCAGTAACTATAAACTGTTGCCTTTCCCCCCCTTTTTTTACATTTTGATTATTAACTCCATTTCCTTCTTAGCTGAGAGCTCTGCATGTTATGGTTTCCCCCCCCTTCAATTTAGAGATATTGTGTTTGCACAGCACTTCTCTCACAATCTGTCATGCTCTGTTTTGTTTAGCACACACTTTAGAGATTTTATTATAGCCTCTGCCTTGGAGCCTTTCTTTCCCAACTCAATTCCTGCTGCAGAATGTACGTTCTAGGATAAAAATGCATGTACTTGTCTCATTCCAGAGATTTACCAATGAAGACCACCTGGCTGTTCATAAACTCAAGCATGAGATGACATTGAAATTTGGTCCTTCCAGAACAGATTCAGTCATCATAGCAGGTATGTGCCATGTTCCAGATCAATTTAAAGGGAAACATTTAATAGAGCCCATTGTAAGATTGATAATAGGAGCTGAATGCACTAGGTATTATTTGTTCCACCTGTTTTGCAGACTTCAGTTAATCAAGGTAAAGAAAAAAGAAAGAAAGAAAGAAAGAAACGCTACTAAATAGATCTCTGCCTTTTTATGTATTACAGAAGTGTCGCATGTTGTGCCTTAAAAGTGAAAGATTTAGAAACAGTTCTTTAACACGTCATGTGTAATTTCAGGGTGACAAACAATAATTGACTGCTCAACTTCCTTTTCTACTCCCAGGTGTTGGTTTTCTTAAGTGTTAGGTGATCACTTAATACATGTGAAACCTCACCTAGCACTTTGCAGGGAAGGCATTTGTAAAGCCCGGACTAATCTTTCTTAGACATGCACAGATTTGAGGAAAATATTCCTGGTAGTCTAGCAGCAGACCATGTTAACACAAAGAAGGCCACAGAGCATTCTTTTTCTCTTCTACCAATTGCATTTTGGATCTTTTAAGAACAAGACTGACAGGTTACAGATCTTGTAAGAAATTGCCTTGTTATAAAGTCTCAAATGGAGAAGAAAAATACTTCCAAGACATCTCACTCCCATGTTGACTGGGAACATAGGGAGTTGCAATCTCAACATACCTGAAGAGTACTAGGTAGAGGAAAACAATTTCAGTTAAACAGTTATTTCCTTTACACAGGCTGTCCTTGCATATTTTGGTTTCTTTATCTGCATCCCTTAGAAAGGGACAATTGCAATTTCTTCTGTTACTGCAGCTTTGACAGGGAAAAGTGCTTTCATTCTTGCTTAAAATAGAAATATTGAAAGTCATTCTAATTAGTTTGGGTCCGTGAATATATTTGTAGCAAGTCAACACTAATAAGCCAATATTGTTTCCTTTGACAGGCAGACGTAAGATCTGAAGTAGAGAATTATTATTATTATTTTGCCATAATCTCCCTGATCCTTTTTTTGATTTTACTTTACTATAATCATTTTGAAGCATTATGTAAGAAGACCTACAGGTAGTCCTCAACTTATAACCATAATTAGGACCGGAACTTTCATCCCTAACAATGCAGTCATTAAGAGAATCATGCCCAATTTTATGGCCTTTCTGCCATAGTTGTTAAGCGAATCACATGGTCATTAAGCAAATCCAGCTTCCCCCATGAACTTTGCTTGTTGGAAACGTCCCGGAAAGATCGCAAATAACAATCACGTGATCCCAGGAGGCTGCAAATGTTATGAATACATGCCAAGTGCCAAAACTTTGATCATGTGACCTAGGGAACATTGCAGCCATCATGAATGCAAGGACCAGGTGTAAGTCACTTTTTTCAGTGCCTTCATAACTTCATATGGTAATTAAATGAATGGTTGTAAGTCGAGGACTAACTCTACAGTTTTGTGGGGATTGCTAACCATACTTAGCATGATCAACTTTTTAGTAAATTATAACAACAATAATAGCAATAACACTTAGATTTATATACCACTTCATAGAGCTTTGCAACCCTCTCTAAGCAGTTTACAGAGTCAGCCTGTTGCCCCCCCCCCCAACAATCTGGATCCTCATTTTACTGACTTCAGAGGGATGGAAAGGCTGAGTTAACCTTGAGACGGTCAGGATCGAACTGCCGAACTGCTGGCAGTCAGCAGAAGTAGCCTGCAGTACTGCATTCTAACCACTGTGCCACCACGGCATAGAAAGCATGCTTTGGGGTCTTATTTTTTCCTGACGTATGAAGGGATTGCTGGGCAAATAGTGCACATAGAAGAGAATAAGAGCATTGGCATTGGACAAAGAAGAGTGTCCCCTTAGCACTTGTGCCCAGTAAATACGTAATAGTCAATTACAAAAAGTCTATACATACATAGTTCTTTAAAATTGATGTCTAATAGGTTGTGTGTTGTGATACACACAGTGACTGTTTCACAGAATTGCCTGTCATTTATTCCTCTTGCAGCAGCTTTTGATTAAGCGGATGAATCACTCAAAGCTTCTGTCTTATCTTTGCAAAAATCCTAGGTATATCAGTTCATAAATGCCTCCCCCGAGCAATGACAGCAAATCACCTTTCTGCCACTCTCACTAAATTACGTAAAGTACAAATAAAAGATTCTCCTGAGGTCCTGGGTTTGCTCATATCAGCCATATTAAAATGTCCAACAAGAGGTGGGTGCAGTGGGCCAAAATCCAAGTCAGGCTAGATCCCATTCTTCTGTGGCTGGATGGACGCAGCTTGTCCAGTTTGATTTAAAAAGTGAAAAATAGACTGTAAAAATTCAAAATGCTGAGCCAAAAATTCAGAGGCCAAGCATTAATGGCTTCAGTGCTTTATACGCAGTTCTCTTTTCTTCTGTATAATGAATAGAAGCAAAAGAAGAAAACACATTTGAACATGCAGAATTCAGATCATAAAACACATCCCATTTGACATTAAACACGTACGTGTCGTTAATTGGTATGATGAATACTAAAAAAGGACAAGTCCCAGACAAACCACATGACTTATCACGCGACCCCTTTGTTTCATCTTCTGTCTCTTTTCTTATGTCAGTGACCTTCCCAAGATGGCCAACTTCCTGTCCGCTCTCTGTGGCTGTCCCCCTCCTTTTGCAGCAACTTACCCAGTGTACCCAACTTCCTGTACATTCTCCGTAGCCATCTCCCTCTTCCTATCGCAGCACGTAGAATACTAAACAAATACCGAGTACTGGACATTTTCACCTCAAAATGTGTCGAGTACCAGGTTTGGAAGCAGTCAACTACTGAGGTACCACCATAAATGTAAATGCTGTAAGTAAATCTAAAAGAGGCATGCAGAAGCAGAAATGAAAAAGCTGACGTTAGTGTTAACCAGTATGCTTTTTAAAATATTGCCCCTTCAGTGGCTTTTCTGCATCTAGCAAAAATCTAGGTTTTATAAATTGGGAAAAAGAACTGGCTCTCTTCTTTTCTAGGCCATCAATATGATGCAGCTGGAAAGGAAGAGCAAGTGGGAGGAGGAGATTCTGAGAGGGATAAGAGCAGAAGTTCCCCACAGAGATAGACCTGCATATTCTCCCCCCCCCTTTTCCTTAATAGGATAAGGGATTGAAGCGCTTCATAGAGGGGGTGTTCTTTGGATGTCTCACTGTTTGGATAGGATTCTAGCAAGATAGACATTCTTTATTCTTTCCTCATTCTTCTTGATATTTTTAGAAACATCTATACATGCACACTGAGGCATCTTCCTGAGATCCTCTGAAGCAGAACATCATATCCCAGCACCATCCAGAGCAGTACAATGTCTTGGGCTTTCATATGCTCGCTCCTACTGTAAGATCTCCCCCTTCTATTATGATATAGCCAATCTGTATTCCCTGTTTCTACGCTGTCCTGCTCTTATCTTTTAAAATGCCTTCATTCGTTCTCCCTTCTTCAGGTCTTGACCAGCCCCTCCTAATTCCTACTGCATTAGAGTCCTCCAAAACTGCAGTTTGTTTATACATATGTTTTCCTATCTCTGTTACAGATTCAATATCACATATCATTGCAAAATACACAGAATTATGTTTTATATTAATACATGGATGAAACACTTTCTGCCCAATGCGCTCTGCACAGGACAGGATGATGGTGATGGTGATGATGATGATGAGGAGGAGGAGGAGGAGGAGGAGGAGGAAGGAGAAGAGAAGAAGAAGAGGAAGAAGAAGAAGAAGAAGAAGAAGAAGAAGAAGAAGAAGAAGAAGAAGAAGAAGAAGAAGAAGAAGAAGAAGAAGAAGAAGAAGAAGAAGAAGAAGAAGAAGAAGAAGAAGAAGAAGAAGAAGAAGAAGAAGAAGAAGAAGAAGAAGAAGAAACACACACATACACACGGATATAACTATCTGAATAATGGAATCCACTCTTTCTAGCATGATAACTGCATTTTTAATTTATAGCTGTGCTGTAAATTTATATCCTGGCTGCACATTCTGTGGGATGAATCATGGACTTCAATCGCATATTTCTTATTGTCTTTTTCTCTTCTTTGCCAAACAGATCAAACACCAACACCAACACGTTTTCTGAAGAATTGTGAGGAAGTTGGTCTCTTCAACGAGTTGGCAAGCTCATTTGAACATGAATTCAAGAAAGCCTCAGAAGATGATGAGAAAAAGGCAAGAGGCAAAGTTCTTTGTTCTTACTAAATTAAAATGTTGAGCAACATGAGGGTCCTCGTCTGTATCAAGAAATACTGCCAGCTCAGGGAGAATTTAGGTTTTGATTGGCAAGACCACACTTAACCAGGGAGAGGGTGGGGTGCAGCGAACAAGGCAAAGTTGGTGAGTTTTGTCATGCATGTAAAATTGTGCTTAAAAAATATGTGAATTCTTTTGAATGTTTGGTATTTCTGCATATATATGACTTAAAACATCTGTTTTCCACACATGTCCTAAAAATAGAAAAAAGGAGAACTCAATTAAACAAATGAGTTGAAAACATTATACTTGTTTCTTTATTAAGGAAAATGATCCAAAGCTAGATATTTGTCCATGGCAGTGGCCCCCAACCTTTCCGGCTTTGTGGACCAGCAGGGGGGTGGGGGAGACGGAATGGTTCCACACAAGTGGCGTGTGCACAAATGGAGCTGCATGCGCACTTGCCCACTGCTTCCCCACAACCCACTTCCGGACAGGCCACACCACAGTACTGGACCGCAGCCTGGAGGCTGAGGACCCCTGGTCTGTGGGGTAGTTAGTTATGGGCATCCCTAGAGTGAAACCCATTGCACTTCTGCTCCATGACCTACGTTGCCAGTTTGTTTCCAGGTCCATTGCAAGGCTCTGGTTTTGTCCTTTAAAGCAGCAGTCCCCAGCCTTTGTAGCTTGGCGGCCTGGCAGGGGAAGAGTGGTGTGCAAGCAGTGGGCCAGCGCACACACGTGTACAGCTCAACTTGGGTGAGTCGTGAGCCAGTATGCATGCGCACGCAGCTCAACTTGTGCAAGTTGAGCTACACGCGTGTGTGCACATGTACCCCCTGTCACTCGCGCAGGTTGGGCTGCGTGCATATGCACCAACCCACTGCTCCCATGGCCCAGTTGCAAATAGGCCGTGGCCTGGTGGTGGGCCACAGCCCAGGGTTTGCGGACCCCTGCTTCAAAGCCCTACATGGCATAGGATCAGGGTATTTGAGGGACCACTTCTTCCCAGTCACTTCTACCCACCCCATCAGGGCAGGCAGGCAGGGCATGTTACAAGTCTTGTGTGCTAAGAAGTTCCATCTGATGGGACCAGGAGCGGAGCCTCTTCTGACATAGTACCAGTCCTTTGGAACACCATCTCTCCTGAGGTGAGAATAGCCCCGACCATCTTGGCCTTCCAGAGATATCTCAAGATGTGTTTTTTTCCAGCAGGCCTGGAGATCCCTTATGTTCAGGAGCTTGCAAGATGGCTCTTTCTTTGTCTGGGTTTTTAAACAATCTCCTATGTTACATACATGTTCCTTATTCGTAGGGTTATTTTAAGATGTGTTTTTATTGTTTTGCTGTTAGTATACCCTGCCCAGTCACATTTGTGAGATGGGCAGCTATATACATTTGACAAATCAAGAAATAAATTAAATAACCCAAGAAGGGCTTTGAGGAAAAGCTTAACAAAGGAAAAGATTGTATACAGTTAACAATGAAGAAGAGCTAAAATTAATTTCTTTCCACATATGGCTTCATACAATGGCATTGGTGTTCCCTTATTTGCTCAAAACTTTTCCAAAATACCAGAAACTCTAGACGCGAATCGCTGGGCAACACAATCCCGTCAGAGTTTTCCGTGAGGTCAGAATTTTCAGTCTCTTTCTCTGAGGGGAGAACTTGATCAATTATTTTGGCTAACAATAATATGTATAATTAGTATTATTAACTGTTTAACAATGTACGGTAGTCGTTGCTTACTGACCATTCATTCAACAACCCTCTAAAGTTGAATGAATGGTATTTACGATCAATATTCAAAGTTCTGGCTGTCACAGTGCCCCAGAGTCATGTGATCACAATTTGGGCACGACGATTTGCTTATACTTATGACAGTTGCAGCATCCCACAGTCACATGAACAACATTTGTGTCTCAGTAGCAAAGTCAATGGGGAAGCCAGCAGGGAAGGTCGTAAGTCACAGTCACATGAGATCTTTGCTTAACGATCCTCACGGTCATCATCTCCACTTAGTGACCAACATGTCGGGGTTATAATGGGGTTACAACCCTTATCAGCAACCAGGACTGCTGGGCCTGTCGTGGCTAAGTGATATAGTCATGTGATAATTATTCTTTACGACCACATCGCTTTCCCAATTGTTGTAACCTGAGAATTAGCTATATGTGAAAAGCTCACTTGAGTTTACTCTAATTACTAGATAGATCTACCATTTATTGTAGTTATGTAGTCATTTATTGAAATCACTAGCTAGATACATGTGTATTGTTTTTTGGATAACAGTATGCCACGGTCATTTTCTGGGATATTGTTCCAAGTTCCCAATCTACTCTAGAGCTCTAGAATTTTCTGGTGGCCTCCAGATTAACACTAAGGAGATCCTAATCTATAGCTTTCTGAAGATCGGCCAAGATCTGTTGGATATTGCCACCTCCTATAACACTCCATCTTAGGCCTTTGTTTGATTTAAAATGAAATCTAAAAGAGAGGGGGAAAATTGTATTGCCTCAATGCTGCTTCAAGCTTTGTATCCCAGCTATAGTTAAAGTCAGATTTCACAGAACACCCTGTTAGAACAGTAATGAAAGAAATGTTGAAAAATAGATTTCATGAACTCATATTTTAATACAGGGGTGTCAAACTGCCAGCCCATGGGCCAGATGCGTCATGCCAAAACCACGCCCACCCCATTGCCGGCAATGGAAAAAAAGTCGAGATACATCACAACACGTCACGTGACACTGCAAGTTTGACACCCCTGTTTTAATATGACAGTTTTCCCCAAAGCATTGGAAGGGGATGCTTGGCTAGAACACATATACCTATATTTTATTTTTGATATTTTTCTTTATGAAATCATCTGTATCTTATTCTGCTCTTAGGAAAAGTATCCAAACGCTGCTTGCATGAGTTTGCACTTTCCCTCCCTCTTTCTCTAATAAACCTTAAAGCAGGGAGCATTCAAATTGAATTATTTATTAAATAAAAATTTAAAATAGGATTAGGCCAGCCAGAGCAAGAAACTAAGCAACCCTTGATCTTTTTTTATGTCTCATATTATACTTTTTAATATAAATAAACAGCCACGGGTTTCTTAACGAAATCCTTATCTTGCCTACTAAATTGCTGCATTGCTGTTCCCACTGAGCAATTCCTTTATGCCTGTCTGGGTTCCTTGTCTTTTAAAAATTGTGTGGCAGCCTGGAATCTTAATTTTAGCTTTTAATTTGAAATTTTATAGCCAAACACTTTGTGTGTTTAGACCACCCATAGTCCTATTGCTGGACTTTTTAAAATAGCTACCACTGCGACTCTTAATTTGGTGGAGTTTGTCTCCCCTTCCTCCTAGTTAAATATATGACTCAGCCTTAATATTTCTAACCTCTGCAAGAGCCTGCAGCAGTTCCAAGCCTGGTTAGTTTCAGGCAGGCTGAAGGAATTACTCCTCCAAGAATAGAGCTGCCTGGATTGTTAATTCCAGCTGGTTTCCTATTTAGAAAACTTGGCAGATTTTGCCCGCCACATTCATGGGATGCTTTAAACACTTGGCTAAATCGAGTCCAGTTGCTAGTGGTAGTTTTACTTTGCGGATGTATGAAAATTGATGGGGGAGGAGGGTGTTGTTCCTTCTGGGTAGTTCCAGCTAAGAAATGTTGATGATCTTTGTAGTTGAAAAAGGTTGGGGTATTTCCAGACGGATGGGTGACTCATCTCCTGGGTCAGGACGAGTCATATGGAGAAGTTCCACATTCATTCACTCCTCAGCGCTGAGACCTCTTTTTTAAACCCTGCAGGCCCAATCCTTGTTTTTAGTCTTTATGCCATATGAAAAAGGGTTGATGGCTGAGGAATTCTGGGAGTTGAAGTCCACAAGTCTTAAAAGTTGCCAAGGTTGAGGACCCCGGTTGGAGAGGGTTGAACAGGAACATACTAGGCCTGTGTTAAAGCAAATAAGAGACTAAAGGAGAAACAACCAGGAGATGGTGAAGTCTGACATTCAGCATGTAATCTGACAGTTTATGTATGAGGTGACCAGGCTGAACCCAAGGGGAGGGGTCAAGGGTGTCATCATTTGGAGTCCCTTCGCGCCCACAAGAGATCCAGATCCAGCCCTCCTTGAATTCCATTGAATCTTCATCTACCGCCAGTTTGCCTTGACTGCTAGTAATTCAGATTCTTGTTTAGCGATAGCATGGAATAAACTTGTACTGATTTGAACCACCCTAGTTTCTGATTTCTTGTGCCTGGCAGTTTGTGTTACAGTATAGAAGAGGGTACTAAAGAAACATTTAACTGAAGATTATGCACAAGAAATAGCCAGCAGAAGACCAAGGAGGAGGCAATTCGCAGATTGCTAAGCAAAGAAGGAAAGAAAGATGATCTAATTAATTGTTACCCTGATTGCCCCTATTGGCTTTCTTTGGTAGCCGCTAAAAGCAATTTTTTGCCTTGAATACATCGAAGAGTAGCTTGTTCATGCTGACCGGCCTTTTCCCTCCCGGCAGCTCATTATACCTTCTTTTATCACCTTGGCAAACTCCACCAAAGGCCTCGAGGAGGTACTAGGCCGCTTTTGATTGCTTCAAGACTATTTAATGTGCTGTTCCTCTTTCTGCTCTGCTGTGCATGAACCGTACCTCTGATATTGCCATTTCTTCCTGCTGTACGCCAGTACTGGCCCAGTGATCTACGATCATAGCAGGCTGTTGTTCACAAAATTGGAAAAGGCCACGCTGAGCTGTTGAAATGGAAATAGGTGTGGTGGCATGCTGCCAGGCTCAGGCATATGGTTAGGTTTTATTACAATGGCCTGGTCATAGGTTTGTAATAACTTATATGGCTCTCTCGTTGGCTTTTGATAAATCAAGCAGTAATTCAAAAGTGACTTATATAGAGGATTCCAGCACTTCTGCGAATGAGTGTTTTTTTGTGACCTGCAGGCCTTCCAGCTTTATTTTTATATTAGCAAAGTTTTACAAGAAAAAAAAAGGGTCGCCTGTATAGTGTTGTGTACACGATCTCCAAAATACTGCCTTTCTGCTTTAATAGGGTTTTAGGGTCTGAGCAATTTAGACAGACAGCTAAGCTGACATTATTGTTGGAGAAGAATAGCAGATGTCCTTGGTGGGGGAAAAACGTTGTTTGCATAACCTGCACTGCATTGTTTCAGCTAAGGGCACATATTTAGTACATATAACATGTAGAAGAGCACATATTTAGTACATATAACATGTAGAACAGCCTAGCGCATATTCTGGATAGAGAGAAGTTTCCTGATGATGGGCTCCAGCACGATCCCGAAAGCTTGGAAGAATAAATCTTTGGTTCTGGTGACCGACTCAGATTGGTTCCTGCAGTCTTTAGTATATTAGCTTTTCTGGGCTAAACAGCCATCTTAGCACCAGAAAGCCAGGATACAAAGTGCCACAAGTATGGGTAGTCACGTTTCTAGACTTTTCTAGCTATGCTTGTGGATGGTGGGCGTGCAGAAACCTGCAAACACATTGCAGGAGCTTTGGGCACTATGCTAAAACCTGTATTTTGTGTTTCCACAGTGTTCTGGACCTCTAGATATGTCTCTTCCCTCTACCCCAGACATCAAAATCAAAGAGGAAGAGCCTGTTGAAGTTGATTCTTCTCCTCCAGACAGCCCCATAGGGAGTCCACAGTCACCACAGCCTAAGGAGAAGGTGAGCTTTCAGGAAGTACAGATCATCCTCCAGTTACAACCACAGCTGAGCCCAAAATTTATTTTGCTAAGTTAGAAATTTGTTAAGTGAATTTTGCCCCATTTTTACGACGTTTCTTGCCACATTTGTTAAGTGAACCACTTCAGTTGTTAAATTGGTTACACCGTTGTTAAGTGAATCTGGCTTCTCCCTTGACTTTGCTTGCCAGGTGACACAAAAGGGATCACATGACCTCGGGACAGTGCAACCGTCATAAATATGAACCAGTATAGCCAAGCATCAAAGTGTAAATCACCTGACCCTGGGGATGCTGCAACGGTCATAAGTGTGAAAAATGGTCATAAGTCGCTTTTTTCAATGCCATTGTAACTTTGAACGGTCACTAAATGAACTGTTGTAAGTCGAGGATTACCTGTATTATTTTAATCTGCTTTTAATGGCTTTTGCTCATTCTGGGAAAGATGTCCTTTGCATTAAAAAAAAGAGCAGAACTAGCTTTCTTATTACATCTGATAATAGTAACAGAGAGACAAGAGATTCAGAAGTATTAGTCAGTTTAATCCTACAAATATGGGTTTACTGCTGGACTTGCTACCCATTTTCTGATTCTTGGACATGCCGGGTGTAAGAACTGGCAGTTCCATGCCAGGGACAGATGCATGAAAACTGCTGAAATAATTTAAATTATCACCACCCCAGTGTCTTTCTCTATGCAGCCCTTTCTTGGCTTCATGTCTGCTGGCAACTCCATGTTCCTAGTGATGGATCTCAACCAAATCATAAAGCAGGAAAGAGCTCAGAAGAATGAAATGAATTTATGGAAACATGGCTTATCACTGCTCCTGAAGTTCTTTTTACTAGAGAAAAGCATTGGGATTGGATTTGAATTTTATTGAACATCATTTTGCATTGCAAATAGTTCTTAAATTTCGCTCGGAGTTCAAATTGCCTATTATCATCTACCAATATACCTGCAGATCACATTAATCCATGTTTTTCCATACCATTGCACTACTTTGTGAGGTACCTGATAGGGTTAACATGATTTTGGTGCAAACCTACTAAACGCTATAAATAAATAAATAAATCTGTTTGACTCATTTCTTAAACCAAGCAATCCTTGTAATAATTATCCTGAGTGCTGTAGATTCCTGTCTTGAGAAGATTTAGAACTTTTGTCTTTTGATAAAATTGGGATTTTTGAAACTACATTAATGCAATATTTATAGGCTTCAGCCCTATCAGATATTTGGAGTTAGCAGGGTATTATTTGTTTGGCATTAAGAAAAAGGGGTGTTTTTGTATTTTTTCATGCCGTTTCTATGTTTTCATCAATAATAATCAGTAATATGATATATACCTAATGTAATTAGCTAGAATAGAATAGAGCTGTTATCTGATGTTATCTATTCCACTTTTTTCTAGCTTACCAAGGAGTAGGTTGTGCTGTACTTTATCAAATGCCTTACTGAAATCTAAGCTAATCAATAAGATAGTAAAATAAAAATTAATAGCATTCCACAAGGATGGTGGGTGATGGGATCTGTCACTGACTGTCTGCATTTCTCTTAGGAGAATGCTTCAAAGCCTATTATCATTTCTACGCCTACACCAACTATTGTACGTCCTGGATCTCTGCCACTGCACTTGGGATATGACCCCCTACATCCAACTCTCCCTTCTCCAACCTCAGTCATCACCCAGGCTCCACCTTCCAACAGACAGCTCGGGTAAGTAGAAACTTCAGGGGAAGAGAAAGCATCCTAAGCAGATTAGCACTGAGCAGTTGATCAGGTAGAATTTTCTTCTGCAAGTGTCCTGATATCAAATCTTACAGAGTACAGTGGTGGAATATATAATTGCCCAAGAACAGCCATGAGGGAAGAAAATATACCCTAGGGCAGTGGTGGCGAACCTATGGCACAGGTGCCAGAGGTGGCACTCAGAGCCCTCTCTGTGGGCACGCGCGCCGTCACCCCAGTCCTAGGCCTTCAGCTGGATTTTATAAAACTTTTCGCTTTAGGCCTCCGCCGCCGTGTGCAAAAAAAAAAAAAAGTTCAATCAGTCAATATCAACTTTTCGCGGGGAAAAAAAAGATCTTGCAAAGTTGGAATTGATGGATTGAACTTTTTAGTCCCACCCAGTCTGCCGTTACCACCGCAGCCACACCCACCCAATTGGCCACACCTAGCCAATGGGCCCACCTAGCCAATGGGCCACACCCACCCGGCACTCGACGATGCATAAGTGGGTTTTGGGTTGCAGTTTGGGCACTCGGTCTCTAAAAGGTTCGCCATCACTGCCCTAGGATTTTGACAACTGGTTTCATCATAGTTAAATGTTTTAATTATGACTGCCGCCCCAGTTCGATTTTGAGATGGGTTGGGAGACGAAGCTGGCTTTAGTTATCGTAGTCTTTGCTTAGCGACTGCCACATTTAGCAACTGTTCACATTCATGACGGTGATAAAAAAAAAGTAACTTGGCGACCAGCCTTCATATTTACAACCTTTACAGCTCCTTATGTAAAGGAAAAGAAAACTGAAATGAGATCATAAAATCATGACGTTTCACTTAGCAACGACTTCGCTTAATGGCCAGGCTGCTCAATGAGAAGTAGTGTATTAGTTGAGAAGCAACTGTGGCTTTGCAATCCATGTTTACTCTGTCAATTTAGTTAGCAATTAAAAAGTTTAGATTAAGAAATTAGTTTGCTGTCCGTTGGTTAGGGCACCAGTGGAGAATTTGGAGAAGGGATGGGTTCCATGAATCAAAAGAGAATCATGTGTAACCAGGATTTGTTGGAGAGAGAGAATTCACTTCCCTGCAAATTGGACTGAAGTTTGTTTGACGCAGTTTCTTTTGCTTGAAATCTTTTCCAGGTCGCCTACCAGTTCTCTACCACTTGTCATGCACCTTGTGAATGGACAGACTATGCCTGTCCTTCCTGGCCCACCCGTTCAGATGCCTTCTGTCATATCGGTAATGAAAGCTTCCAGCATGGCTGATTTTGATAAAGGAAGGGACAGTTTTTCCCCTTTGCAGAGCATATGGGGCACTTTAATTTGCAAAATTGACATCTCCCTCTACTTCCTCTGCATGAGACAAGCCTTTGTTGGAGTAGAGGACATAGGGGTGATGAGAGCCACTGCCTGTGAGGGTAGCAGTGCCTGCCAACCAAGTCATTGGTCAGGAAGGCTCAGGCTGAATCCTTGTACGAACAGATGGCTGGCCCTGTTGGTTCTGGGGCTGGGAATGGCAGGCTTTCTGATTAGCTAGCTTTGTGCTTGAAACCATTCAAGCTTGCAGAGAACATGTCAGCTTTTCCAAGCCAGGAAAAACTCCCTCCCTGGCCTCTTCGGGGCATGAAATGGTTATTTAGCTTTTATTTCTGCATATGGATTTGACAAACATGAGTACCTTCTGGTGCATCTTGTATTATTTCTGATGTCACATGCAAATCAAGTGTCTGCTTCTTTGTGCAGTAAATTTTCATTGACTTTAAGTGTTTAGAAAGTTTCTGCCACAATGGAAATAGGTCAACTCCAATAAATTGGAAAGGCTAATTTGTTAGGACAAGTAGAAGACATCTCTGTACGTTCCTGGTGGGGACGTTTGCAAATGACTGCCTTCTCTCCAGGATGTATCAGTAATACTTTGTGAATTCTACTTAGCTACGTGGTATCTTCTTCCCCAATTGTTCTGAAAGTGAACAATATCATAAAATGGGGGGAAATGTCAAAGAACCTTACAGAGGATAACAAATCAGTCAGAAGTTTTACTCCTTATGATAAAAATGTAGTTCTGAGCATGCCCTCCCTCTAAAAATTTCAGGCTTCTGTACTTTGTTTCTGACTTATTTTTATCCCTTCAACAACTTGAAAAATGGGTTACCTGAAAGATGACAATAGTCTTGAATGTTGCTCCATGAAGCGCTCCCCCTTCTAGTTCAAAACTAAGGGTTTAATCATTTTAGCATGATTGATCTCCAGATGTCTTTCTTTTAAAACAATATTTAGGCCTAGTTCAATATTTTAGGCCTGGGCAACCTTGGCTCTTTCATGACTCGTGGACTTCAACTCCCAGGATTCCTGAGCCAGCCATGCTGAGGGGAAAGGGAGAGGTTTCCAAGCTGAACCATGCTGGCTCAGGAATTCTGGGAGTTGAACTCCACGAGTCATAAAAGAGCCAAGGTTGCCTATCCCTGGCCTAGTTATCTGGAGCCAGAATCTTCCTTATGATCCGCAGATTGCCAGCAATCCCCAATTTCAAGATAAGAATCATTTGAGAGCTAGCATTATGCTACAGTTTTTAGGTGACAGTTGAGAATTTGCACATATACACCTAAAATCAAATGAGAATATTTGGGACAATCATAAAAAAAAGAGAGAGGATTTGGCTGTTGTAGCAATATGGTATGGCTCAGAGAAAGTGAACTAGCCAGCAATTCTCCTCCTGCCTCCTGTTTCTTCCTCTTCTGTTCAGCCTGGTTAAGCGACTGAAAATTTGTGGGTTTCATGCAAACACCAATGGTGAGATTTTTATGAGGCTTTTTTTTTTCGTTTTCATTGTGTTACAAGTAAAAAAAAACAAACCTGAGGTGCTTCTTCCTCCTCCTCCAATATATAGCTGGCAAGGCCAATGCCTATGGTGCCAAACATTCCTGGTATTCCTGGTCCCCCGGTTATCAGCAGCGGCTCAATTTCACCATCAGGCTTTCCAGGACACTCTGAAGCTAAAATGGTGAGCTCCTGTTTCTACTGCATTGTTCACAAGATTGCTCCTTTTAAAGAATCAAACGAGAGAGATGCATGCACCAAGATGCATTGCAGATTTCAAAAACATTTTTCTATCGTTCTAGTCTTGAAAGCATGGCTGGCTGGGGTATTCTTCTGGGAGGTGAAGTCATTATAACTTTAAAAGTGCCCAAGATTGAGAAACACTGCTTTAAAGAAACCTCATCTTGTAAAAACTGCTTTAGGTTGTTGTATCATTTTTCAGAAATAAGTCTTAGTCTCCTTTACCATCACCACTTGTACAATTTACAGACTTGAAAAACTAGATCCAAAATTGCTAAAGTTCACAGTGTGGGTTTTTTTGTTTTTGTTTTTAAATAGTGTTCCCTTGCCAAATACAATAAATCTGCTTTTGAAATTCCCTCTCAGGTTCAAAAGCAACTTGGTGTATGGCAGCCTTCCCCAACCTGGAGCTTTCCAGACATGTTGGAATTGCGAACCCCAAAATTCCCATCCACAGAGGCTGATATATGGCAGTAGAAGGGGATGTACTCTGCCAAAACCACTGTAAAATCCTTTTCAGGGTACAAAACTGATCAGAGTTCCTTGAATTCTGGCTTGGGGTTACAAAGAACTATAGCCGTAAAAGTGTAGACATGTCTAAATACAGTATATTAAGAGTAGATATTAACTTACATCTGAGCAAATATCACATTCCTGTACTTTTTCAGGCTAGACCACCTTTACAGCAACAGAATATTTTATTCTAACTTACAGGCATATCCTTTTGGTAGTTTTATAATCTCTCGTTTTTTAAGTGTCTTCCATTTGACCAAGTTATTTTGAGACTCACACACACATTCCTTGGAAGGAAAATGAAGTAAAATGTAATAAAAAACCCAATGTTGTACTAGCAAAATTCCAGCTGTCTGGACATTTTATGGTGACTTATTTCTTAATTGTATTGGAAAGGAATAATTCCTGTTTAAACATTCCATATTAATGAGAGCTTCTCTTGCAAAAAAAGAGAGAGAGAGAGATTTTTCATATTTTCTTAGCAAAAAGAATTCCCAGTCAGGTGTGAAGTTTTTACATCCATTAATTCTAGGGACATAAATGTGAACCTCTTAGCTAACAGCATGTCAGATTTACTGGCCCTTGTCTTCAAAAGTCTGCCTCTTTTTAGCAAACCCCAAATATGTGTTAAAAACATCAACAAAGTTGGGCTTCTCAGTATTTGTTTTGTCTTCATCCCATGCAGAGGCTAAAAGCCAGCCTGACACAAGGAGTTACTTCCTCACTGAACGGCAGCAGCATGATGGTGGGATCAGCGAGCACAATGGTGACTTCCCATCCTGAACAGGGTCAGATACTTATCCAGCACCCTGATGCACCTTCTCCAGCCCAGCCCCAGGTTGGTTAAGAGCCAAATTGGATTAAGTAAGGATTCAGGAAACGGAAGTGGGACTGCAATACATCTCATCCTTTCTCAGCTGGCAGGTCATCGGCTAAAGGAAAGAGCCCAAATTTAGGAAAGCTGCCTGGAGATTTGTAAAGCCACTTGCTAGACCAGGGGTGTCAAACTGCCGGCCCATGGCCGGCAATGGCAAAACTCTCCGGATACGTTGCGTGACGTCACATGACGTTGCGAGTTTGACATGCCTGTGCTAGACCATATGATATTTAATTAAAATCCAACAGCTACTATTGGAGCCAGAATTTTATATAAAAAGAGTAATGTGCTGGTCCTTGCGGTGAATAAAAGGGGAATGGGGAATTTCTAAGTAGGTGCTTGAGCTAACTATGTATTAAAGAGCGCACGATGGGTGGCATGGTATCATTTGTTATGATATGCACACTTTTTATTCATTTTTTTAAAAAATCAAATATGAATTTAAGATTTTGAACCATTACAAAGCAAGAATGATCTGATGATTATGTGAGGAGTATATATCAGGCTAATGAAGTCTCTTATGCAATAATATGGTCATTCCTGGAGAAGGGAAGGGAAATCGTCATCAGCTTCCAGCAGTCTTTTAGTTATCCAGAAATAAATGATACTTTGTTTTGCATTTCTCTCTTCCCTTATGTTCCTGTACATCCTTTGTCTTTTTGTATTCTTTCTCTATTTCCTTAGAGAGCAACTCTCCTTTTTGCAGTTTCTGAAAAACTGCTTAAGAACAAACATCAAATTTTGCAAATGGGAATAAGCTTGAAAATTCAGTATGTTGTTTTTCCTTGTTGCCAAATTTCAGCTTTCTAGTTGCAGGATGTGCTAGGTTTAGGCACTCAGTTTCTAATTCCCTGAGCAGGTGGGTAGACTTGGGTGAGCCTCCCTTGCTTCTGTCAGCATTGCTCCCTGATGTTTACAACTGAGATACAACAGCAATGAGGACAGAGTCAGAAACACAGAAGCAATGTATACAAATCTTCTCTCCCTCTGTCTCTCTTCCTGATTTAATTACTTGAGTTTAAATGCACCCCATTTGGTCCTGCCAGCTTACCAAATGCCAGCCTTCCATCACAATTACCACCTGCTCTGTCAGTTAGAGCTTCCAGAAGTTTACTGTCCATATGTTGCCTGACTGACAGCGAGTATAGAGAAGTGGAAACTGTCTGTCTAATTATAGAGCCCATTTGGGGAGGCTGAGCTAAGGTGGGAACCTGCAAATCTGTTTTTGCTTTTGGCAGTTATTTGGCTACTTAAAAATAAAAAGGATTTCAGTGACTAATACAGTGTTGGCTCTACCACACAAGCATCTCATTGCAAAAATTATATAGATGCTTGAATAGGCACAAGGGAAAAGAGGAGGTTTTTTTTTTTAATTAAATTGATAAAAGGGTGCAAAATCAAATAACGATTGATTATTCCAAGTTGCTTGCAGATAAATGCACAGCAAATAGACATACATTTGTCTTGTACATCCATTTTACAAGTAGACTATTGGGAACCAGACAAATCAGAGGAAAGTATTATTTATTGTTTGTTCATTAAAAGATTGTAAATATCAGAACGGTTTACAGAAAGATATCGTGCAAAATATAATAAAAGCAATCAAGAATAAAAAGGAAACATTAAACAATAAAGTAGCATTTGAGAGCAGTGCTCATAGGCAGTGCTAATAGTCCCAAAAATTGCTTGGACAAGTTCTGTGGTCCATATACCGAGTTTCCCCAAAAATAAGACATCTCCCGAAAGTAAGCCCTAGCTTGATTTTTACATGTGCACCTAATATAAACCCTACCCCCCAAAATAAGCCCTAGTTTTGGGGTGAGGTGCACACGTAAAAATCAAGCTGGGATGGGGTGTGTGGAGCTGCCCCACACTCCCTGTACCTGCTTACCTTAGGACCGCCTTAGCCAAGATCCCACACCCCGACAACTGTCGCACCGCTGCCCAACTTCTTCTGTGGCTTCTTGCAGCCGGATGCCATGTGGCGCACCGCATCAGTGCCACCTCTCGTGGCAGGAGGCTGTGTGGCCCGCGACACTGACGCCATGCACTGCATGGCCTGCCATGAGCAAAGCACCACGTGGCGTCCAGCCGCAAAGCGCCACGTGGCGTCCAGCCGCAAGCAGCCGCAAAAGAAGTCAGGCAGCAATGCGACAAGTGTCGGGGCATGGGGAGGCCTGACAGCAGTGGTCCTAAGGTAAGCGGGTAAGACATCCCCCGAAAATAGGAATGGTGCCTCTTTTGGAGGCAAAAAGAATATAAAGAATGGGTCTTATTTTCGGGGAAACACAGTAAATATGTATGACTGGTAAGTTCTTAATACAAGGTGGTCCTCTTCAAATAATGGCTGAACTGCAACTTTCAGCAGTTCTAGCCAGCTTGAGTAGTGGCAAAAGATGCTGGGAGGTGTAGTTTAATAACACCGTAAAGCCACAGGTTCCTCTTTTTTTTTTTTTTGAACAACCTGCCCATCTTCTGTGTGAATAGCCTGTCCATCTATCTGTCCTTTGTCCTCAGGTTTCCCCAGCTCAACCCACCCCAAGTACAGGTGGCCGACGGAGACGCACAGCAGATGAAGATCCAGATGAACGTAGGCAGCGCTTCTTGGAGCGGAACCGCGCTGCTGCCTCCCGCTGCCGCCAGAAACGTAAGATCTGGGTATCATCCTTGGAAAAGAAGGCGGAAGAACTCACCACACAGAACATCCAACTAAGTGTAAGCAGGCTGCCAATATGCCTACAGTGTGATCAATGTACCCCTAATATCGTATCTATCCTTGCTTTATTTTCAAGACCATCATCTTCCAGGGTACTTACGTGAGATCTATTGTTCATAAATTTGTTCCTAGCCAATATAATCTGAAATTATGGAATCTCCATGTAGTATGGAGGTGATTTTTGTACTCTGAGGCCTTCATTGCTTATCCTTGAAAATCCTGGCATGCAGTAGGTATTTTTGGTCTTGGCTGTGTACCATCTGGAGGAGCTTACTTTGCCAGGGAGAAAAAAAACGATTTGAGGTCTCTGTGAAAGAATGCATTCTCCTCACATACACTTTCTTGGATTATAGTTCCCTTAGTTAAATTATATCTCCTTGTGGGAATGGACATTTTGTGGAACAGATATTAGGGCCTCAGTTGTTTTTATCTCTTGTTACTCACTTGTCAGTGTAGACTTTTTTCAGAAAATCTTATCACTCAATTCCGATCTAACTGCGGCAGATTTTTTTTACTCACCCTTTGACAAAGATAATTGATACCCCTTTTCTTCTTTTTCTTTGTTCCCATCACCTATAAATTTGATACATTGTTGTTAATATATTGTTATCATTTCAAAATATCCTGATATGTGAAATTTTCTGTTCTTCTTACAAGTAAGAAAAACATTTTGTGTGGTCTAGAACAGGGCTTTTCTACCTTTTCACCCATTGTACCACTTTTAGGATATGGCAATATCCGAGTACCACCTGTCGCCTAGCAAGGTGTCAAAAACTTGATGACCCCCCCAAAAGGAAAAAAGTGATAAAGTACAGGTAGTCCTCGACTTACAACAGTTCGCTTAGTGACTGTTCGAAGTTACAATGGCACTGAAAAAAGTGCCCCCCAAGGCACAGCCGAGCAAGACACCTGCCTGCCTGCCCGGCAGCACTCTCATTCCCCTCCCCCGCTACCACTTTTCTAGGATGGCCGCGTACCACCTGCCAGGTGCCAATGTACCACAGGTGGTACCCGTACCACTGGTTGAAAAGCCCTGTTCTAGAAGATGCACAAAGGGAAGCTTTTCATACTCTCCATCTGTCTCTAACAGTGGAAGCTTAGCTTTCTCTCCTGTCTACTATAGAATCTTGGTCTGATTTGATATATTGCTGGTGCTAGATTATGAGCCAAGCTATTTGCGCTGCTATGAATTTTTTGGTTTACTTTTTACTACCATGTTGCTTAGCTTTCCTGAAGCTTAATAGGAATTTCCCACCTTCTAAAGAAAAGGAATTGAGCCTTCTGGTTCTTGGACCTAAGCCAACAGGGCTAGTTCTGTCTTTGACGGAGAAACTGAAGTTCAGTGTAATCTCTCTTTCAGTGGTAATAATGAGAATGTTAATACACTTGAGCTATTTCCATATGTGCCCTTGATATGGTGCTCCCACCTTTTTGAGAGACTTACACAAGGAATGCAACTAAGCAAGCCGACCATGACGTAGTTACAAGTAAAAGCAACTGCAACTCCAGTGTTAAAACAGGCTGCTACCTCCATTCCCTATAAGCAGCCTCTGTCTGCTAGAAGCCAAAAATAGCTCCAGCATTCCATAGTTTTCCAGGAAGGTGAACCTGGAAGATGCACTGGGTTTGTTTGCCTTTGTGAATTTTCAGCACCTTTTTTGTAAACCCTTTCAGGTATTTTGCCCCCAATCCTATAGCTTTCACTTTATATTTCATTGATGGAAAAGATTTGAAACTACTGCCTCAGTGTGTGTGTTTGTGTACATGTGCGCATGTGCATTACATTTAGCCCAACTTATCTCAAAAGATTTTCAGAATTAAAACATGTTTTATTTCAGGGTTTCTTAGATTAGAATCTCCTTTATTCACTACCAGGTTTCCAAATTGGCCTTGTGAAAGATATTCCAATAGCAAAAGACATCATTTAGGCATAGGATTGAGCCATAGGATCATGGCAGTTTTAATGCTAAAAAGGGGCATGACAAATGAAGCATTCCCTAACTTGTGGACTTCAATACCCAGAATTCCTGAACCAGCCATGCTGACTCAGGAATTCTGGGAGTTGAAGTCCACAAGACATAAAAGAGCCAAGGTTGCCTACCCCCTGCCCTAAGTTAAGTAATGAGTAAATAGTGCTGGCTGAAACCCATGATCCGTAAATTCCTTCCTGTTTGTGTTGTGTCTCTGTTTCAAATGAACACTTAACAAGATTCAAGATTGGATGTTGAACCAATGCAATGAGACTAAACGTTTCCTTTTTCATAGAATGAAGTTACATTATTAAGGAATGAAGTTGCGCAACTCAAACAACTATTGTTGGCTCACAAGGACTGCCCTGTCACTGCATTACAGAAGAAAACACAAGGTTATCTTGGTAAGCAGAATCTTATAAATAAATATTCAGGCAGGGCAAATGGGGTCAAATACAAGGGTCCTTGGTGCTCTCTGAATTTGGTTGTTTTCTTGCAGCACTGATGATGTCACCTAATTTGGGTAATGAAATGTCTGCAAAAAAAACCAACCAAGCTCAGAGAACACCAAAGACGCCAATTTCAACCCTGAGTTATAAATAGTCTCCTTTATTGGGGTCAAACACAGATTGTAGAATTTCAGCACTTTATGAAGAGGCATTTTGGGATCAATCAAGATTTATAAAAGCATTCTATAATTGAAGAGTTATGAATATTACAAGGACCCCCAACTGTGACCTAAGCTATTCCAAAACTGTTGGGGGTAGAATTCTCAATACTCCAGTTATTATGGCCAGTTCTTCCTTTGGATGATGGATGTCCATATTATCTGAAGGACACCCAGCTGAAAGAGATTCTACTACATTTGCAACTATAGAACAAGACCTATTTTTCCCCAAAGGCTGATTTTTTTTTTTACAGTGCTGTAAAACTGCATTTTTTTTCTCTTTTCCTCTTCAATTTTGGAAGTTCACATTATAAGCCTTAGCTGTAGGGAAAGAAATTCAATTGGCATCTAGATAGTGCCAGTCTAATTCTTCTCAGTTATGCAAATGCACTCCTATGCAGTTTTATTATGGAGTTATGTGGCTGATTTTTTTTTTAATCGAAGAAACCAGAATCGGCTGACTCTACACAATAATAAGCTATGGTTTACCAAATACAGTGGCTGGATTCACATAACATGCTATGTAAAATGAAAATCTATGATAATGTGTTCCGTGTATCCAACCCAAGTTTATACAGATACTTTTGATTAGCGTCAGAACGAGTTATATTTTTCATGGTTGTTAAGTCTGTATTAAAGCTGAATTTTTGTACAGAGAATATTGTGGCCCAAAAAAAAAGCAACTCATTTGAGAAAATATAACTGGGGAGAACTGGCAGAATCGTTGCTGAAGCATGTTCTGATGATGTTTGTAAAGCCAAGCCCAATCACTAATACCATTTTATTTTTCCCTTTTCTTGAAAAATCAGAAAGCCCCAAAGAAAGTTCTGAGCCCACCGGTTCTCCAGCTCCTGTCATCCAGCACAGTTCGGTGACTGCATCTCCCAATGGGCTGAACGTTCGCTCTGCAGCTGAAGCCGTTGCCACTTCAGTCCTCACTCAGATGGCCAACCAAAGGACAGAACTGAATGTGCCCATGCAGTCACATGTCATTATGGCGCCACAGTCCCAGTCTGCTGGCAGATGATGTCGCCAGTTGCATGGCATAGAACTAACCAATGAACTGCAGCCAGAGAGACTGATCATAACTAAGCCCCTTGTTCAAAATGGGGTGGATACAGTTTTTGTTTTGTTCATTTGTTTTATTCTTTTGATTTCTTAAAAATGAGTGAAGGGCAGCTATGGAGCTTCTAAATATATCCCACATAGATCCTGGCCTCAAACATCTGTCAGAGGGGCCATCGTCTTCCCAAAGGGTGGCTTTGGAATAAGTCATTTCGCCACACTTTAGAGACCATTTGTCATCCTATCTAGAATCGACCATTTGGATAGCCTTATACAGTGTGATCTTAAATGGTTAAAGTTCAGGTATACATTGTGCTAACACTAAGCCTCCCTTAGTTTGGTCATTCATGGTGCTTCCTTGTCTTGGCTACTGTAGCAAGAGAAAGCAGTTCTTGTGAGGAGCTGTGATGTTTTGCTGGTGCTGGCCATTTTTTGTGGAAAATTTTAGCATCCCCAACTGTTTTTGTAGCATATCCATCAACATGGTACCTGATCTTCCATTCTACACTTTCACACAGGATTCCAGCTCGTGGCTCTGAAGGTGGTAAGCTCCATAATTTTGTCGGTTTGAACTGTTCAAATTGTTTTGTGAAGAAAGTAAGAAACCTCACTCTTAGCTGCTGCAACTGATGGGTGATTTTGCTGTTCTGGAAGAGAAAATGGCAGGCTTGTTGTATACATTGTAGGTCACATAATTTGTACTATGCGTATGATCAGGGATACATTTTTGGTCATGTTGTTACCTAATACAGATTTTAATTTCTGTAGTTCGAGAGGAAGCCATCAAAACACAATGGGAATTCTTTGGTTTTTAAGTTACCAGGTGGGAAATGCTAAGGTATATTAGGAAGAACATTCACAAGGGCATCACTTATTGTGTCTAGAAAAAAAAATAGAATGATTTATGCCAGTGTTTCTCAATCTTGGCAACTTTAAAATGTCTGGACTTCTAGGCTGACTAGGGAATTCTGGGAGTTTAAGTCCAGACATCTTAAAGTTGCTAAGGTTGAGAAACTCTGGTTTATACCTTTGGAATCTGAGTAGTTGCAGAATCATAAGCATTACAGTAGCAGGTTCAAAGTTACACAACGCTAAGCTGCAGGATGTAGCTAAACAACTCCTATATTGTTTGGGGACAATGTAGGAGTTAGCTCAATGGCAAGGAAAGAAGAAAATGTATCTCTGTTTGCAAATGCAAAAGATTCAATACTCTTATAAGAGATGTTCATTTCTAAAGCTAAGCTGACATGTTTAACCCAGTGAACCTTTCAAGATTGTGGCCTTAAATCATGGACTATTTCAAAGACAAAAGGATGGGGGCAAACATTCCAAATGGCCTCCCCTCTTACCTTTTTTTTTTTTTGGTCAGGTTTTCCATCCCATTTCTCCTTCAGATGATGTCACCTATTGCCTTTTCCCATCTGTCTCTTCCAAAATAAATACCGAGTTTCTTGCACATTGCTATCATAGGGTAGACTGAAAACGAAAAAGAAGAATTGGAAGTAATCTCTCCCCTTTTCTTCTGCTTCTTGTCAAAGTGTGTGCGTGTGTATCTTGGACTGACCTTGACCTCTTGCTAGTTGGTCAATTTTAGCTTGAATCACAACCAGAGGAAAAGGTGCAGTAGGGTAGTTAGAGAGTAGCTATCATGAGCTTCCAACTTGCCAACTCGCCAACTCTTCCACTATTTTGTCTTCCTAATTATGTTTTTTTGAAATAAAGCATTGTCCTCTAAGGGGCTATGTACTCCGTGCTGCCAGTCAATACAAAGATTTTTATTATTCCTCAGTTTCCACCCACTAGAAAGCACACATATGATACACACACAAATGCACATGTCTATGTATATATGTGTAAATGTATATGTGGCATGCTAAACTTAATGCAGGTTTTCTATTATTGCTGTTGCTATTGTCACGATCAATCCAGCTTCTCAGGACCTTAATGCCGCATGCTGTCTGTTTCCTTGCCCGAATATGATGCTGTTGCTTCTTGTTCTGTTCTTCTGTGACGTGGTGTTTAATTTTAATTTCTCCTGGGTTCTTTTTCCTTTCTCCTTTGTTTAAAAGAAGCAAAATGTGTTCTGAATGTCTGCAGACTTCCTTTTAACAAGCATTTCAGACATAGTGTCACTTGTCTTCCTCCCCACCTGCCCCCCCCCCTTTTCCTTGCTTCCTTGATATGCTAAAAATGCAAGCTGGCAAAGGCTTTGAAATATAACTTGTCCCAACAGGGTATCTGTTTCCTTAGTGACAGCTCCAATAACAGTGCACAGTAGGTGTAGCCAGGATCTTCTCAGGTTAATAGGATAAGAAATGAGCTTGCCGGGCAAGTGGGATAGGACAAGGTATTTTAGTGTTTGTTTTTTTAATTTATATTTTTGTACCTTTCAAAACAAAACTGCTGCATTCTTTCATTTAAAATAATAATAATTCAGAATTCTGCTTGCTGTTGAATGAATGCAGTGCAGGTCCAGAGAAAGGACTGTAGAATTTTGGTTTTTCATATTTTCCATTGAAAAATAGGGGCTCACAACAGCATTGAATTTGCTGTCTGAACTGGTGCCTAGATTCTCATTGACAACTAGTGTTTTGTTATGAGAAAGAACAAATGAAGCTGTCAATTGTGCTATTGGCCAACCTATTGGGGGAATGGTAAGAAACTTGGAAAGGGAGAATGAATATACCAAGATTTGCAAGTGAGCGACAGGCAGAGACTTGCCAAATGCAGGTTAAATTATGGGTGGATTTCCTACCATAGTTCAAAATGATACCCAAAGATAGGTATGGCCAGCACTGTCCTCTCTCAGTGGATGTACAGTTCTCTCCAAGAGTTGTACAATTGAGACACAGAGCATGATTCAGTAAACCCTAATAATTCAGAGCAAACTGGGTAGAGCAGCTGTGGCTTAAGAATAATCCCCAAATATCTAACTTAAAGAAGGCCTTTCTTTATTTGGGGCCATGAGATAGAAACTCCAAATCTTTCTCTTAGACGGGAACCTTGTTTTAGAGCAACCGGCAATTGAACCTGGAACTTTCTATATGAAAATCAGTTGGTCTCTAATACAATATAATCTCTCTTCTAGTTGGATATGAGGCTGCTTCAGTTACTTTTAGGGAGGGGTGTAGTGCACTCACCCTCAACTTGTCACTCTCTGGAAAGGCCGGATGCAGTCAGGAGTACAACTCTCATTGTAACGGACAAAGGAGAATGTTTGTTGCTCAGGGTTGAAATGAGGGATCCTTGGTGCTCTCTGAACTTGATTGTTTTCTTGCAGAGAGCACCAAGGACCCCTTGGCTGGAAGGATGCTCCATCACATTTGAATATGCCACGCTGATCATTATTAAAGATCATGTGAAGTTGGGGCGGCCTTCCCTCTGCGCCATGCATGGGTTCATGGTCTGTGCTGTTATTCAGTCATTGTCACTCAGCCTGGTTCACTTAATGCTGTTGCAGAGGGGACATATGTTGAATCTTCCGTCAATGTGTGGCTTGCGCTCAGACTCTGAGACAAAAAGAACAAGTGTAGGGACAGTAACACTCCAGGTAGGAGGACTTGTGGAAAGTCATAAGATCTGATTTGATGGGTCTGCTAGAGCGCACAAGCTGCTTTCTATGGGGGACATCATGCTGTGGTTCAAAATCAGGGAGTAAAATATAAAAAAGCTTTCGTAAAAAAGCATCTCATTCTGTTAGCCTACCTTAAAAGAACACGACTGCCGCCTGGCTCCAGGAGTTTCCTGCCTCAGTGCTGCAGTACTTCAGGATAAGAAGGGAATGTAGCACACAAAAGGACACATAACATGGGGACATTTTAATGTACTCCTGCTCCAACTTTGGATAAACTCCACTCTTTCTTCTGTTAGATTAAGCCAATCAGCTACCCAGAATCTCCTCATGACGAGATGGGTGGCAAATAAATTTAATAAATAAATAGATTAAAGTATCATGCTGTTAGAGATGGAGAAATATTTGAGGGGAGGGCCTCAATAAATTTAGAAACCACATCCACCTGTCTATTGGACTCTGCTGTATCCTCAACTAAGAAATGCCCAGCCTAGTTGAAGTAGAGCCTGTGAACAGAATGAAATAATCTTACCATTATTTTAAAAATGTATTTGAAGGAAATAATTTCTCTTAATAGCATTTTAAAATTAAACTCTGCTTTGCTGTCCCCCTTTCCATTTACTTGCATCTGGATTGTTATGGTTCTCTTAGTATGATCCTGTGCTCCTAGCCATCGTTAAAAACAAAGCAACATTTGCACATTGCTTCAGTTCCTGCTATTCAGTACTTGCCAGGTTAGAAGAGCTCTGGAGCTACGAAATGCTGGGTTTATAAGTAACCTCTGCTACATGGAATCACAGTAAAAGGTGGCTCTTATAAGGCCACAGAGCTACGTGAAGAATTGGTTAAGCTGTGATCAGTCCTGCTCTAACTGGTTGACACACTGGTTGTCAGAAAGCTCTCCTAAACATATTACAACTCATAATAAATCAGGAGTTGGGTTTGTAGCAAGGATCGCTATATAGCCGACTTCAGAGGATGGCCAAAACATAAGTTGCTGTCCCAAAAGAATTCCTTTCAAGTAAGCAAAGAATTTTTGAGATTGAGAGCAGGGTAAGGGGCGATCCTGTCAAGTTACTTTTCTAGCTCAGAGAAGACCACCACGCTAACCAGGCATGATATGCTAAAGCTGATCTACATATTCTACAGCAAGGAGTCTCATTTTATTTCAGCTTATTTTCTGATTGTACCAAGGAAGTGCGTTCTGGGCTTAAACACCCATATTTATAAGAAATTACTATTCTAAGTGTGTACCCTTTCAACCTGCCAACTGACCAGTGGCCACTTGTCTGTCACTGAAACCTTTAACAAAATTCTGTGCCTGTAGCAAAGGAAGCAATCTGGGAAACCGTATATATAGTTTAGTATAGCCATCTGTACTACTGCAGTATTACTGTTTTATGTGCAAAAAGCAT